AATAAATATGTCAATATATATTTCCGCAGCCGAATCAAGCATCCCCATCCATGAAGAAGGTTTTGGTTTTTACCTATAGGGGTTGGTTTCAATTATATGGTGGTTAAAAGACTATCGTATCAAAGGATTTAATGACCCGATGGTCTAGTTAGAACGTTATAAAATGTTACAGACTTCTCCTACACCTGCTTCCAGAATGTTTTTGTAAAGGTTCGAAAACGTTCCCGAATGATAATCAATTTTTGCTGAAATGAAATGCAGTAATATCTATACCTACATTTTTTATAATGCGTAATGGACTATTCAGGAATAAAAGACAAACAAAAAGGTTTCTTTTTTATATTTTTAGCAATAACGCTAATAACAATCATAAACCGTCATTGTCATTAAACTTAACAAATACTATAATATAACATAATATTCTATATTGTCTTTTATTTTGTCTTTGATAATTCAAGCACGATTTCAGATAAGCTGCTGTAGCTGCCTGCCAAAAGTCCTATTAAACCAATAATTATTATTACAATATCTTTTAATAAAACTAACTTAAATGGACCGAGATTATCGGGCCAATTAACACAAATTTCCATTATTGCTGGAAATGCTAAGCCCAGAGCCGACAAGCAAAAAGCTCCAAAAAATGATATAAAAAGTCCTAGGAGGGGAATTGTTGCCGCCAAAATAACTGAAAAAAGATAAGGGTATTATTCAGTACGTCATAATATTATATATAAAAGAAATTATGAGTGTTGTTAGCATAGGGCAAAGTAGTATTACGTAGTTAGTATCAGCAATGACTTAAATATTAATCATTGATTACTATATATCTATTAAAAAACCGTAATGGCCGACATCCGTGACAATGCGACAACAATTGAAAAAGAATGATGGCCGACAACTGCAACAATTAGAAAAGAATGATGACCGACACTACGTCATAGTGGAGCTATTTCGAACAATTTTTAACACAAAGAAAGTGATTAAACAAACTGTTCACAAAAGTGAATTTTGACCACTCGAATTAATGGTGCTAACAGTGCATGGTGCACGCTACACGAGTAACTTGTTAAGTTTATTTTCCGATTTATGTAATCATTCTTTAATAAACAACTTTTAAGTGAATGTCTTATTATATTCCTGATATATTTCATAAGCGCTATGGCCTCGCTAAAGGATAAACATGGCCGCTACCAGCCATATGTCCAGGCTCTTGTTATTAAATCACCCTAAGTTTGTCCTTTTCATTTATATGCTGAGCATATATGCAAACCAAAATTTCTTTGAATTTGTTATGTTGGATTAGCAGTACGATGAGAATGAGCTTTTAAGGTGATATGATATATAAGCAAGGTAATAAAGTGTCTTTCCTAACATAAAACTAAACTTTTGGGTGTTTTATTTCCACCAACTACTAATGCTTGTAGGGTATACCGGAAGGTAGGTCGGAAAGTTCTACTCAGCCTCCTTTTAAGAATCGTGGGAACGGGTAGATGGTGATTGGTGTGAAAAAGATGAGACGGACGAAATAAAAACGGAAGAGGAGTTAAAGACTACTTGTGGAATATTGTTTTTGCTCTTCCATTTGCCTAAGTGAATCAAGGAAACCACAGGAAAACTTCGACTAGGACAGACGTACCCGAAATTGACGCGGCGTCCTCCCAAATGCTAAACAATGACCTAAATCTAAAGCTCTAGCTTTAGGCCATGCCACTCAGTCTTTTCCTAACTACAACTCTACAACTTTTTATAGAAACCGCATCGCAAGAGATATTTTGCATGTCGAATAAGTGGCTGAAACGATAGGTCCATACATCAGTAAATTGATTGGATTGTATATTTTGAATTTAAAAAATACATTTTAATTTTATTTGAATAAAAATTATTATGGAAATATTGTTTATAAATCTTTCAATTACACATTAGGTGAAAATTTTTCATAGCGTTCAGTAGGTTTTTTGATTTAATCTTACCACAATACTGTTTTAATGTATTTCCCTAATGCTGTTGCTTTACAGTAAAAATTACTTTGATATGTCAAATTTCAAATAAGCTTTAATAAAACGAAATAATTTTATCGATAGATTAAGTGCCTTGTTAGGTAAAAATTTCTATACTCACATTTATTTTCACTAAAGTTTTTTTTTTATGAATACGTACAAATATTTTTAGTTCCAAACAATCGCCACCATCGTATTTGTAAAGTATTTACATTTGCAGTTTTTCCGGTTTTTAAGTATGAAGTTTTTAATTCCTTCATTAATTAATTCTATAGCGTTATAAAAAAATTGTACGAGGTATTATTCCGTCGAATATTTCAGTATGAGTTCCATTGCGTTAAAAGCAGTTAAAAACTTTTTGAAATGACAATAATAAAGACACGAAAAATTGTTAACTGTAAAATTGAAATGAGTATTTCAATTGAGTATTTCAATTTTTGTCAACATTTTTATTTTTTTTTGTAAAATTTTGAACTGAAATATTTATTGGAATAGCTTTAATCTTGACCTGACGATCTTCCCGAGGTACACAGCAGTCATAAGTAATCTTCCATAATTTTGGTCTATTACGTAACTTACACGTTTATGTATTTTACTATATTTCTGAGGCAAGAATAATTTTAAGATGGAAAAAATCTTTGGGTTCTTTATGCCTTCCAGCTACTAATGCTGGTGGGCGGGCAGTCCTATCGAACTACGTCCTAGTCGAAGGCACGACAGAAGATATTCTTCAGCCTGTTTTGAGGGAATCGTGGGAATGAGTGGATGGTGGTTGAGAAATATGAGACAGAAGAGTATTAAATATTATATTATCAGTGGAATACTACTGCCCTTGCATTTACTTAAGTAATCCAAGGAAACCACAGAAAAACTTGAACTAGGGCAGATCGCGCCGAAATTGAAATGGTCTCTGAATGTTAAAGAATAGTCTAAACTAAACCTTTAAGGCCATGTGAAAATTCAGTGAAAATTTGTGCTAATGTAGATTTAATTAATAAAAATGAAAAAAGGATGACATGAAATATTCTTATTTTATCTACTTTAAACTCTATAATATTCAAAAGGGCAAATTACTAAATTTACAAAACATCGATAATTTTTAAGCGGTTGTTAATACATTTTATTTTGTGATTTATTCAATAGATTATTGTAGGTATATTTGGAAAACGTTCAAAAACTTACAAGTCAGAAAAACAGATGAGATCNTAATAGCAAGGTCTGGTGAGTTTTACGCTGACGAGATAAAATCAAGCTAATTGTGACAAACTAAGTTTCAAATTTTTTTAAAAAACACTGGTACAATTCCAGGTCTATCTGCTCTGGTCCAAGTTTTTCTGTTGTTCCCTTGTATCACTTAGGCAAATGCCCTAGAGCAGCAATAATATTCCACTGATAGTCATTCCCTTCTCTTCTGTCTTCATTTCGTCCTTTCTTTTTCACTTCAGCCACCATTCACCCATCCCCACGATTCCTAAAAGGAGGCTCTCGAGGGCTTTGCACCCTATTCTCCACCGTAGTCCGGAGGGAATACCAGCCCACCAGCTTTAGCAGTTGATGGGAACACAGTACAACATAGTTCAAAATTAATCATTTTTTTTTGTAGTTGAACACAGCCTATCGAGTCGCATGACCTATAGGTTTTTAGACATTGCTTAGCATTCGGGAGAACACTGGTTCGATTCTGGGTCCGCCTGCTCTGGTCCAAAGATTGCTCTATACGACGAAAGATGACCTAATTACCTAAGCCAAAACTAAAAGCCCCTATAAAAACGTTTCATAGTACAGTAATGATCGCTAAAGCATTAATAAACTTATTGGGTATAACATGATCACAAACTCTCTAAGGAGAATATTTTCTAACTTCAAGATCTTTGCAGAAAAAGCTGTACTTTGATTACGATAAATTAGTTTGCTCGAAAATAAAAAGCGTTGTTCTTATATTGATATCATCTGAAACATCTCAAACAGACTATGTGACGAAAACAATCATGATTCTTATGTAACATGATATAGGTACTTTACTTAATTACTTTCCAATTCTTCAATGCCTTTAAAGCGATTCCGAAATAATAAGAAGTCAATTTCAATGAATGATTTCGACGAATATTTATGTGCAATTTTTCATATTCATTGTGTCAATTTAATATAAAAAGTGACAAAAGCGTACATGGGCAGGTAGACACCTAGGATGCCATTTCTTTTAGTTCTCCAAAACGTACATCATGGGTGTTTAAATGATCACAAATTATGTGAATAATCGTTAGCTTCCAATTAATTTTCTAAATACACATAGCAATTGTTTCACACACTGCATCATCACAATAAATCTTTCAATTACACATTAGGTGAAAATTTTTCATNACTGCATCATCACAAATTGTCCAGTCGAGTCAATCTATTGAATTAATCTTGTAGTATAGGCAGGAATTACTAATGTAATTATATTAAAGTGAATTAAATTTTAAATTAACATTTATCACTATAGATAACCTCAGATTAATAAGGAAAATTGTTGCCGTATACTGGAAATCGAACCCAGTTGCCTGGGTTTGTGCATCATTGAGTCATTATTAACAATGAGACATTTAGAAGAATTTTTATAGGGTTAATTTCAATATATTAAAGTGAATTAATTTTTACCACAATAGATAGCCACAAATTAATGAGGAAAAGTTGTTACAGCTATCACGCCCTCGGGGCGTGAGGATTTAAATTTTAAATAATATCATAACTTCAAGAAACTACAATGTGGTGAAACAATTGTTTGAATTTCTTATGAACTTTTAAAGCCGGTATTAGATGGAACAGGTTGAATTTTTAGAATTTTATCTGCCAATAAAGGCTACCAAAAATTATGTTGGTAATTCATCAATTTTTGACCCCTTCTGCCACGTAAACAGGACCGTAACGCCCGGCATGACTCCACTGCCTTCCCAATTCCGTTACGTAACGTGTACATTGTAAACTTAGAGAAGAAAATTTTTTTAATTTCTAACAAAAGTTCACTACTAAATAAGACAATACGTACACAATTTATAATCGACATCAAATAGTGGTGTCACGACGTTCATTTATTATTTATCGGATGAATTATTTTGGCAGTGCTACATATTGTCAACGTTTCGTTTCTTAAATGGTTACGTAATGCAAACATTCACCCCCACTTCTCCCAAAGTAATACGACTATAATGCCAAACTGGATACTCTACCCCCATTTGTGTTACCTAGCTTTGTGAGAATTTAAAGAAAGTTGTTTGAAGGTGAGTACCTTACCATTTATTTGTGAAACAATTTTTGAAATTTTACTCAAATTTTTCGGATTACTTTTAGGTATATTACACCATTCTTATAGATACGTTAGTACATTATCAATGTTAAAAAGAAGGTTATTGAAATATCGTAAAGATTAACAATTTAGTAGAGCTATTGACTTACCACCCCCACTGCTTCTAGTGCAAAAAGAGTAGTTCCAAAATAGAGAGGAAAGGTGTAAAGGGTTCCAAAAGCAGGTCGATCGCTTATACTTGGCAAGTCTTGAAAAATGTAGTAGAGAACAATTCCAAAAGAAACGAAGGTCAGTATATTTGCCAGAGTAGAGAATGGAGCGAGAAGTTTCAAATTCCTTATGGAAATCATAAGGACAAAGGGAATTAAAATTATGAGCATGTATATTTTAATATCCCATGGTTTATCTAGATAAACATCCACGAAGTCCTTTAAGTTTACCCCAACGAACAATACGTACACGCAGCATATTCCAAATTGATAAAATATTAGAAATATATCGACCATTAGCCTAAAAATAACAATTTATATTTAATAAAATTAGTAGCGCCAAGTTTTTTTTGATAAAGAAAGTTATCGAGATAAGTTGATTAAATATGCAGTTTTTAAAAGAGTCGATTGATCTCATGACAAATTCATCATGAATAATTTTAATAGCAAGGTCTGGTGAGTTTTACGCTGACGAGATAAAATCAAGCTAATTGTGACAAACTAAGTTTCAAATTTTTTTAAAAAACACTGGTACAATTCCAGGTCTATCTGCTCTGGTCCAAGTTTTTCTGTTGTTCCCTTGTATCACTTAGGCAAATGCCCTAGAGCAGCAATAATATTCCACTGATAGTCATTCCCTTCTCTTCTGTCTTCATTTCGTCCTTTCTTTTTCACTTCAGCCACCATTCACCCATCCCCACGATTCCTAAAAGGAGGCTCTCGAGGGCTTTGCACCCTATTCTCCACCGTAGTCCGGAGGGAATACCAGCCCACCAGCTTTAGCAGTTGATGGGAACACAGTACAACATAGTTCAAAATTAATCATTTTTTTTTGTAGTTGAACACAGCCTATCGAGTCGCATGACCTATAGGTTTTTAGACATTGCTTAGCATTCGGGAGAACACTGGTTCGATTCTGGGTCCGCCTGCTCTGGTCCAAGTTATTCTATGGTATTCGCTTCCTTCTGTCTTCATTGCTCATTTCCTCCTATCTTTCTCACCCCAACAACCATTCATCCATTCCTACGATTCGTAAAAGAAAGCTGAGAAGGATCTTCCGTCCTACCTAGCCCATCAGCATTAGCAGTTGGTAGGAAAAAACATTTAAAAATTTTTTAAGTTGAAGACTGCCTATCGAGCGGTATGACCTCTAGGTGTTTAGAGATTCCTTGGCATAATATTCCACTGAAAGTCATTCGCATCCCCGCTGTCTTCATTTCTGATTTCGTCTTATCTTTCTCAATCCAACAACTATTCACCCATTCCCACGATTGACTGAATAGGACCTTTCACCCTATCCTGCGGAGTAGTCCGGAAGGACTGCCAGTCCACCAGTATTATCAGTAGGTAGGAATGAAATGCCCAATTATTTTAAAAGTTGAAGACTGCCTATCGAGCAGCATGACCTCTAGGTATTTAAACATGCATAGTATTCGGAAGGACACCGATTCAATTCCGGGTTAGGCAAATGTTCGTACGGTAATAATATTTCACAGACACTTCTCTTGTGTCTTCGTTTCTCCGTATTATCTTTCTCACCGTAATTACCACCCACCAAAATTCCCGCAATTCCATAAAGGGGGGCGAAAATGTTCTGCTACCCTACCCTTCGGCGTAGAATAGTAACAGGAGGCTTCTACACAGCGTTTTCTTTATTACTCCTGGTTTCACAGTAAACTACAGGGTTAAAAGGAATGATGCGCACTTTTCTTAAAATTCTATGAAAATTTCTCATACACGTATACTTCTTTGATAACAATTTTAACTAATAAAATGTGTTTAATTGTTTATTCTGTATGTTTTTTTTATTTTCTTTTTTATTTAGATGTTAATATTAATATGGTTTTGATTAAGTTATTGGATATTAAAGTTTCTATATATACATAAGTGATTCGAAATACAGTGAATTACCCCTTAGAGGACGCCTTTCTCTACCGGACAGTTTAGAGTTTTCAATATGATCCCCGTAGAGTAGGACTTCTACTCAGCCGACCAACTCAAAACATAATCTCATAACACTACCATAATCACATCGACTGAAGAGGACCTTAATTGGTCCTAGAACGGTCTGAGGTAGAGGGGTTTCAGTCGGTAGGACTTGTTCCTCGGGAATCCGACACTACCCAGTCATACAAATGGCTGAATGTCTTTTGAAGATTTCCCCTCTTCCACGAAAACAAAAAAAAAAAACTCATCCGAATCTCTTATAGACATACGCTGACAGTTTATAAACGAAGAGTAACTAATAAGAAATCTCTTCTCAATAAACAACTTGTGTTTGTAGATACTTCTGTAGAAATATGTGCGCAGCAGTTTAGGGATTGTTTGCAGTTCCTTAAATAATGCTATTTTTTTTCCTAGGCACGTGTTCGCTGAAGGGAGGCATTGCACTGTAGTTTATATACGATTTCGTTATTGATTTGACACATTTTCTATAAAAACGATGTTTATCGCAATTTATGTATAATAAATAGCGCAGATTAAAGAAATGCTAAACAAATACTATATCTAGAACAACGTAATTTTACATACATCAGAATTTATATAAGTGCAATGTACCAAAGTAATAAATAGGTCGATTATGATTATTACCAATTCATTCAATAACGAAACAATTACAAGTACTTATTTATGCACGCATCTAAAGACTTAAGCATGCATAATAAACAAATTGCTTTCATTTCCTTGTAAAACATCAGTTACGTTACTTCGTCAAATGACGTCAAAAAATAGGAATTTAAATCATCTGATGACTTTGACTATTAAGAAATTCATATTTCATCCAATTTACAATACGAGATGGTATCTGAAGTATTTAAAGAACACGCTTTCCAACTTTATTATAGAGAACTAGAATTGTTTCGAAAAATAAATTTTATATATTTATATATTGCATATTTTCTGATTAATTAATTAATTGAAAGTAATTAAGAGATAAATAGAACGAAATACCACTGAATTTCTGAACGAAAACGTTTTGCTTCTTCTTACACATTCGCTATTATAAAAATCACATTGATGTTATGTCAAAAGCAGTAGGCAGCGGCTAGTATATTGGGTTAAATGGGCACTCAGGTCATCACGTGTTACTTTTCCATGAATTGGATTGTAATAATGTTAAAATTCATAGGAATGGAATGTGTCTAGGTTATTATAAAAATCCTACATTTAAATCTATATTAAAATCCTCTTGTTTCAATTTTCAACGTAAACATTGTAACTGATTACAGGATTTAGATGGTCATTTTCATAATTGCTTAGGTAGTTATTGTGTCTAATATAATTATTACCTTTACTGTTTATTTGTGGCATACAAATTTTGAGCTTGCCAATAGCATACTATGAAGCTTTTTTAAAAAGAATATTAATTTTCTGCAACAAAGGTTTTCTGATTAGATTTTATTGGATCTCGTTAGCACGCAATAGACAGTTTCAACAGAATATGGACCAGCTCTACCTTCTGCCTTTAGACAGCGTTTTATGAATTTCTACTAATAGTGTATTCAACGCCATCTGTAGAAAATTGCTACAATTTGTGGGATTCATAAATGTTCGACAAAGATATCGACTTGTCAATAGGCATTTTAGAAAATACCACAAATGGCATGGTGAACGCCATCTGTAGTAGGATGCTACATTTTAGGATTACGTATGCTTAAAAAATTATACAATTCGATTATGGTAACGTGTCTATTACGTTGAGGTGAGCTACGCCGGGATTCGTTTCAGCAAGTAGATATCCATATTTTTAAATGGACCTTGTTGGAGAATACGTAATCCTAAAATGTAGCATCGTACTACAGATGGCGTTGACCGCGCCATTTNAAAAGAATTTTAATTTTCTGTAACAAGAGTTTATGCTGGTTAGATTTTATTGGATCTCGTTAGCACGCAATAGACAATTTCAACAGAATATGAACCAGCTTTACCTTCTGCCTTTAGACAGCGTTTTATGAATTTCTACTAATAGTGTATTGAACGCCATCTGTAGAAAATTGCTACAATTTGTGAGATTCAGAAATGTTCGACAAAGATGTCGACTTGTCAATAGGCGTTTTATAAAATACCACGTATGCTCCAAAAATTATATAATTCGATTATGGTTACGTGCCTATTACGTTGAAGTGAGCTACACCGGGATTCGTTTCAGCAAGTAAATATCGATATTTTTCAATAGACCTTGTTGGAGCATACGTAATCCTAAAATGTAGCATCGTACTACAGATGGCGTTTACCGCGCCATTTGTGGTATTTTCTAAAACGCGCTGTTAAGACAGCAGGTAAAAGTTGGTCTGTGTTCTGTCGGAGCTGTCTGCGACGCGCTGATGAGATCCAAA